ATGGTGATTCTTAAAAAAAAAAGTATAAGAACCATTTTTGTAGATAATTTTAAGATCTATAATTTTTGTCGGAGCTACTTTTTTGATGAAACATGCCGTTTTCGAAAAAACCTCAAATTTTGACCTTTGACCCCGAATAACATTTATAGTACACATGGGATCGATGGGGACTTTTGACACTTTATTTCTAATGGTGTACCCAAGGTCTTCACCAAAATTTAGCTCTGTCGGAATTTTTTTATTTTGACCGGGCTAATATTTATAGAGAGTATAGCTAGACCCCTAAGCTTCCCATCCATACTTTCAAAGTGGCTTAATTGGATACAGGGTGCTAGAAATTTAATGCCGAGTTTAGTTAACTTCAAACCTTCATAAGTCGGTTTTTTTAAATGGAACACCGTGTATGTTTTTCTATATTCTGATACACAATTTTATTCTCTTTCGAACAGTGTCAGGGTTACCTATACCTATCTCTTCTAATTTTTAAGTTTTTTTTTGTGTAATCACCTAAAATTTTAGCAAAACTTCAAAACAAACAACTAAACTGTCACCAGTTATTTATTATTATTTATTCACAGACGTTGCAATGGAGTTCTAAGCAGAACTCCATTGCAACATATCCCAATGAGACATATCCCAATTTTCCACCAACGAGCAGAATAAAGTTAAGAACAATTCTAAAAAATCAACTTCATACATAGTAATACACAATTTTAATTATGTACCTATGTTGATAATAATAATACACTTAGATGAAAAAAAATGACTTAAAAAGTCATAAATGTTCAATATGACCCCCATTAACAGCTAAGCACTTGTGGATTCATCAGTCACCGCTTTTGCTATTTCAGCAAATCATGGAACGCTCTTCGTATTCGAGCAATCAAATCCTCTTTTGAAGCAACGGGTGTAGAATAAGTTTTTTGCCTTTATTATTCCCCAAACATAAAACTCTAATGGAGTGAGGTCGGGAGACCTCACTGGCCATTTCCGCGGTCCTAGGCGCCTCATCCATCTGTCTTCAAACATTTCAGTCAGCTGTTGATCGGTTTGATTGTGACAGTGAGATGGAGCCCCGTCTAGTTGATACCAACAATACAATACTTATACACCAGCCATTTACATTTCTACAGGTAACAATTTCCTAGTTAATCGAAATGTATAAACTTTTTTGGGAACTAATTTCGAGTATTTACATAAAACGTGGTATTTTTTATTTCAAACACATTACAGAATTATATACATATTGAAACTGAAATTTCTTCTTATTTACATACTTATGTATACGATAAAACAAAAACAATAAGTACAGTTTTACCTATCGGACCGGGATTTTAGATACAATTAAAGAAAGGGTTAAACTTTTATTTTCAGAAAATTTACATTTCAAATTCGGTTCCGACACTTCCACAACATTTGCAAGAAATGTTTATAATTATATCACTATCACTATTTCACTACTGAAAAGGACTTATTTAATTAAGCACAAGCGTCCACCAGTAATACTAATAAGAAAGTCATTTTTCTTCGAGGAACCCATTGTTACCCTCATTATCAACTAGTAGCGACACTTAAGATGTGGATTTAAAAAGGTAAGTAAAAACAAAAACAACAGATTTGAGAAGCTGTTTAAGCTATTTAAGCGCTTTTAAAATATACGCTTTGCTCCCCTATTACATAGGAACGAATATTATTTATTTTAAGAAAATAAATATTGATTGATGTAGGTAACTGTTTCTTTGCTAATACATTTATGTCATGTAATTGTAGTTTGAAAATTTCAAATCTTACGAGTATTAATAGAATTAAATAGCCACAGAAAATTAGAATTAAGATTTAATGGAATAATTTTTAATAATTATTTATTTATTACGTAATATATTTATAAAACGAAAATTATAATTAATGATATATTTTATACCACTGCTTGTTTTATTTTTTATTACACATAAACATTTTATTAATTTATGCAACATCACATTTTTGATGCCACGTTTTGAAAGCAATTTTTATGCCGTTTTTATCCCATTTAATCCTGTAACAGTCCGTAGTGGACATTAGTCCTTGATGTGGCGGGTAAAAAGTGAATAATTTTAATCCTGTAGATGTCAGCTCTAATGTGATTTATACGAAACGTCGTGGACGTATTATTCGTCTAGTCGCAGGAAAATCCTCATTAATAATTTTATTTCAACTTATTTGCAGATATAAGAGTTTATTTTTTGCTTACAATAGGATTGTATGTACAGAGTGTCCCACTAAGATCGGCGAGGTACGATATTAGAGAAAGTATAGGCCTTAGAGCTTCGAGAAAAAAATTTTAATTAAAAAATCGACCAAGAGAAATCGCTGGAAATAGTTTTCAAGTTCGTATCTCGGCCGCTAGGGGGCGCATTCTACATACCAAAAGTTTTTTCACAAAGTCTTGGTCCTGGACATACATAATATACCAGTAATTGAGACTCAGACCGACAATGCACGCGGAGGCCGAAGATTTCTGGCAAATACCACACTACAAGTATACTCGGGACCTCACAAAGACTAGAGACTTAATTAATAATTAGTATCTACTGCCTGCCACCGCAAATTCGTTGCCTGTCTTTTGAATCCTGATATGTAATTTATGATATAATTATGAAGATTTCGTCTAAGTGCATTTATGATGTTAATTAAATAAAGCAACTTTCAAGTAAGCAAGTTGCAGACAGACTGTTGAGACATTCGGTTTGATGATGTTTTGTGCTAGTACAATACAGAAAAACTTAGATGTTGAGAATTTTAATATGCCACTAAAATGATCGTGTTCAATAAATGAAAAAGAAAATTTATATATAAGTAGACGACTTCCAATTAACATGCGAAAATACAAGGTGTTTCTCAAATAAGTGCATTGCAATTATCAACCCAAAAAACAGACAATTTTTTACTTCTAGGACTGAAGTTATTTAAAAAAGTAATAGAAATAAACTGTTTACCATATTCGACATTAGATAATAATTCTATAAAAATTTCTCGACAAAGTATAAAGTTTGACACGTGGCCTTTTTTGTCTACGATCTCCATTCATTGGGTGCACTCTACCAGCCTCTCGCAATCTTTGCTCGGCGTTTTGCATCGTTATGGGATTCAATTGTTGTCTTTGGAAGTACATTAATACCATATCCGCTATTTATTTGGCATTTCAAAATAAAACAAGGTACATCTATCTACATTTAGCGAGAGCAAACAAAACATGTCAGCGCTCACGCCGTGCAAATAACCACACTGAACTTGACCATTTATAAGTGTACATGTTTATTGTGATTTTAAATGTTTGTAGGTATCATAAACAAATAACAATTGAAGGAAAATTATTAAATTCATGGAATAGTAATTAATAAATTTAAGATTGGTTTTATTTGAGTTTATTACCGTACTTATTTCAGATTTTTTAATTTGGTTTTCGCCATCAATAATACACTAATGCAAAAAATTAAAGGGTCAAAATAATTTTTTCGTGGTTTTTGATAGACTGTATTTAAGTGAAAAATGATCGTATCGGGAATTAAAAAAAAAACTTCTTGAAGCTCTAAGATCCTAGTTTTTAGATCTTTCGGTCGAAATTTTTTAGGAACTACGGTTATCATGCAATTATAATAGCGCGACAAAAAAATTTTGCAAATTTTCTTTTTTTCTGTTCAGCATGGACCAGATACCTTATTTATTCAGCTTCAATTTCCTTTGTTTAAAATTTCAATACGGCCATTTTTCATCGAAATATCTGACTTTTAGTTGGAGAATTGAAGGGCAGTTTTAAAAACTATAATAAACTTCCTATAATATGCTCCAGTAACTTTTCGGAATTTTTTTTTTTCATCTTTTACACGAATTTTAATAAACAGGAAAAAATGAGTAATTTATGGTTTTTTAGAAAATTAACGGCTAAATTAGAAATGTTGACGAAATTACTAATGTTAAGCATGACTTTTACAGGTCGATGAAGTTTTATCTCGATCTAGCGAACTGTTTCTTTGTTTTAGTCAAACTTCTGAAAAAAATTAAAGGGTCGCATTTTTTGAGTTTAAACATTTCATATTCATGATTAAAATGGAAAAAAAATTAAGGTTTTCTCACTTTTTTACCATGAATAACGTTTATATTGGTGAAAAATAAAAGAAAAATTCGAAAAATTTTCTAAAAAATTTTCGAAATTTTTCGAATTTTTTTTTGTTTTTTTTTTTTTAGAAAACCTTCCGGACATTGATTCGGATTTTTCGTCCTATGCTTCTGTTCATCAATTTTTAATTAAATTAAAATTAAAGTTGATGATTAAAACCAGATTTCGACCCCGAATCATACCGTTTTTGAGACAAATTTCTAATTAATTTTTGTGCAGTTTGTAATCATTTAAAAAACAGTTTTATTCAAAACTTCTCTGAACAAAAATTTCAATTTTTTTTTGTTTTTTTTTTTTCATCAATTTAAACGTTATTTGCGGTAAAAATGTGAGAAAACCTTTAAAAAAATATATTTTTTTCCATTTTAATCATGATTATGAAATATTTAAGCTCAAAAAACGTGGCCCGTAATTTTTTTTCAAAAGTTTGACAGTCTGAAACAAAGAAACGGTTCGCTAGATCGAGATGAAACTTCACAGGGTTCTTCTGGGTATATCGAACTGTAAAAGTCATGCTTAACATTAACCATTTCGTGAATATTCCTAATTTAGCCGTCAATTTTCTAAAAAACCATAAATTTTCAAAACATGTTAATTAAAATTGGTATCTAAAGTCACATTAAATCTAGGTCTGGTCAAATGTCAGTGCTCTAAAATTGAAAAAACTACTTCCATATTTTTAATGTCTGTTTGTATTAAATATTAATTGAAAAAGCTTGTTGATCAAACACACTGTTTAATCTATCAGAAGATTGCAACGTTTTATTTATAATACTGACCATTTTTCAATTAATTTATTAATTAAAAATGCTGTTTTCGTAGATTGAAATAATAACAATTGCGGTAGTTATTACAATTTATTTAACATATACATTATTTACATTAGTTGGCGCTGCAAAATTGCAAATGTTAAAGAACGCATTACTCTGATGAGATTTACGGGGTGTTCATTTATCCCAGTACCACAAATTAAATTTTTATTAGAACACACTGTATGTTTAGCTAATTAATAGTATTTATTTAATGTCACTAATAAAATCATTTCCCTACTGTTGCAAAAATGAATTATTCTAATATTAAAAATTAAAGGTAACTTTGGCAGGTAACTAGTTTTTTAGTCTTGTTAAAATCCAGGTATTAAAATGTTTGTATATTTTTTTTAATTTTCGTCTTCGCTAGAGATTTGCTTCACTGTCGACACATCCGAGGGTTTCTGTTTGGGTACTGGATACGGTTTCTTCTTGGAGTGAACTGAAAAAAAATATATTTATTACTCAATTTTTCTCTTACACTCATAAAAGAGAGTCCACTCTAGAAGCGGCAAAGACAGCATATTTGTTTCAATTATAATTAATTTGTAACATAACATGACATAATAACATAAAATCATAATAATATAAAGTTATTTTCAATGTTAATAAGATAAAGCTGTTTTTTATGTAATACCTAGATACAAAAAGAAACCACAAACAGTAAAACAAAATTGACCTTCACGTGACCTTGGGGGTCACACATGATACATCATCTGAACGTAGAATGTTCCGCTCTTTCCCAATCTGGGGTTGAAAATAAGGATTTCCATTTAAAAAAAAACTAAGTTGACCTTGAAATGACCTTGAAAACGACATTGAAGGTCACACACAAGGTCACGATAATATGTGCCGCTTGGAGACCAGCAGCTTTTATCTGAACCATTTTTCATATAACCATTAGTCCAGTATACAACGGTAGAAATAGAGTATTACCTCCGAATTCTTGACACAAGCACCGATTTTCATGAAAATTGGTTAGTAAGCTCATTTCACCCTCCTTTGCAAAAGTTACATATCCATAATGTGTGCTTATTGTTTTTAGGGGGTGAAAACTGCCCCTTCTTGCAAAAAACGTAAGATTAGAGTGTAGATTTAAGTGTTATGTCAATAGAATAAACATTATTTTATGTTTTGAATAATAATTTTTGATTTTTAGCAACATTTCAACCCTTAAAATCCACCCTTTATAAGGAAAAAAAACAAAAATTAGTTTTCGCGGCTCTGAAATGTTTTGACGGGGCAATAATGATGAATTGAATATTTTTTACTGTTTATGAAATAATAAATGATTTATTGCAACGTTTGAACCCTTAAAACCCACCCTTATTGCAGAAAATAAAGCAAAACATTTTTTTCACATCTTCATAGCATTTATAATGAATGAAAAACTCATCACTGTTTATAATATTACTGATGATTCATTGCAACGTTTCAACCCTTAAAAACAACCCTTAATGAGGAATTGAAGAATTTTTACCTGCTTCAAAACGCTCAACGTGTGTGTGTTTGTGTGAATTACGCCTCGGAAACTATCGGAAATTAAGCCATTTACACGATCCGACAATTTTCACTGAATAATACAATTCGTTTTTTCACAAAAACTTTTTTAATTTTTAATATTTTTCATCGCTCCAGAAAGCAATTTAACAGGGAATTGCAAGAGCTGCAAATCAACCTTTATAGTTGAAGGCTCTTGAACTCTTCGTTTTCGAGATTTTTAGGTTTTAAGGGCTCAAAGAAGTGGTCCTTACACGCAAATGTAAATTAAAAAACGTAATATCTCAGTTAATTTTTGCTCTACAGAAAAATTGAACATAAGCAAAAATATTAGTAAAAAAAGACCTTTAATTTTGAACTCTTGCATTTTTCACGTATCTTGTTTAGTTTTTCAGTTATTTCGAAAAAAAGAAACTTTTTTTTAAATTAAAAGAGTTTTTTTCAGTATTTCAAACTTTTTTTTTAATTTAGGCATTCTAAACCGGTCAAACTCGCAGAGCCTATTATTAGTACCTAAATAAAGTCAACTGGACATAAATTAAGCTTAGTTTCTATTTTTATGATTCAGCAGATTTTATTGCTGATTTTTTCGTCATAACTCCTCGAGTTTTTGAGCTAAGAATTTTTTTCAAAAAGCATTTTAAAGGCCTTTCCAAGCACTTTAAAAAAGGTTATAATCATTTTCTTCGAAAAATGAGTTCTTTCGCCATTAGTTTACGGTGAAAGATTTTACTTTCCGAAAAATAAACAATCAGTTTTAGAGAGTAATAACTCGGTTATTATTGCATGTACATTAAATGAATCGATTCGTTATTTCAAAATCTTTATTTTTGCTTTATATGATTTTTTTCGATAAAACGCAACGTTTTCGAGTTATTTATCAAAAATTGTTGAAAAACATGCACACTTTAGATGAAAAATCAACATTTTCAATCGCAAATAACTCGGAAAATATTTATTTTTGGAAAAAACATTATAGAGCATTTTTTGCTTAGAATTCATCTTTCTATTGATTTTTGCGATTAAAATGGGTGCCTTCATTGCCACCCCCGAGAAGGGGTGGCATTCACCCCCAACGTGAAAGCACACATCGGCACTATGTAACTTTTGTTTCTTGAGGAATTTTCTACCTACTGTTAAAATTTCACGTCAATCGGCGCATGTATCAAGAATTCGGACCTAAAAACCGTCATATACTGAGCTACATGTACTTGGATTTTAGAAGGGGTGGACGGGTGGTCTAGGACACCCCGTATACTATAATATTTATATCAAAAATAGTAATAAGGCTTAAAAATTGGTATTAATCAATTTTTAATTGTAATATAGCAATGAATAAAATAACAATGCACCATAAGAAGCAAATTTGTGCACTCGAACCCTTGTTTAGTTTTACATACGTTTTTATCAGTATAAAGATATTTGAATGTTTAACCGGAATTTTTTTAAAAAGCATACGTCCGACGTTTTCATATCAGGCCGTCATAAAAGTAAAGTATAGTATGTAAATACCTAGTTTTATGCAATTAAAATGGTATCTACTTCCAGCTTGTCAACCCGTGATGCATTAGTACCTCTGAATTTTCCACGATAACAAAAATAAAGTTACATTAGTAAGTGCAGCTATTTGCAGGATGAGTTCGTACATCGCATGAGGCAATATGTTCACATTAAAATTACATAAAGAAACGCTGTCCAAAAAAATAACGCAGACAAATGTATGTACTTTGGAGTTAAAAGCTATATTAATTGATAAAAATTAGAGCCATTTCAAAAAGCTTCTACGGAAAAATATACGTAATATTAGAATATTTTGTATCTATTAGGAATAACGTCCTAAAGTAGTAAATATATAAAATTCATTAATTTTTTTGCAAGTTATGATTTTTTAAATTTCTGAAATCATCCCTTAAATTCTAGTCTCCCTAATTCTGTTAATTATAATAGTACAAGAAAAAGTTAATGGATCATTTTTATGTAGAATTTTATGCTCTACAACCTTTATAAGGAACTTTTTTTCTAGCTCTTACCAATTTTAAGTTATCTTGAACAACCGCTTTATTTTATCTTTTTCACCCTTGGCCGGGGGTTCTAATAAAAATTACTGTCACTTATTGTTATTATATATCTCAAACTAACTTATATAAAAAATTCAGGCAAGACTATATTTTGTACGAAATTTGCGAACTTCAGCTGCTAAACTTTAATTATTTTTAAAATATTGCTCAACAATGAAAATTTCGTGCTGCGCTTCATTTTTAATAACCCTGAACTATCAACTGTCATGCTGTTTTTTTTTTTTTGGCAACACTTTACCGTACAAAATCTTGTGTGAATTGTGGGAAACCCGATATATTATTTTAATTTATTGTTCATACAATGACACGAAAAGATAATGAAAGCATGTTTAATACTTTTTTATTTAATTGGGTGTTACTATCAAATTAAAAAGAAAAAGGACTTGATTTTATAATTTAGTAATTCTAAACAGAAACATCTGAAACTGAAAAACTAAATAATTGTTCGATATATCATTATAAACACTATACACAGTAAGTTGAGCTCGAAGTTGAAGGTCAGTTTTCAATATCAAAACTTTTTAGAATGACTGTAAAAAATGTTAAAACCTTAATTTGCTATGTACTGCACTGTTTACAGTGTAATTTCGATTACCTTTTTCTCTGCAAAATATTTCTAGTTACACCTAATCCCTACTAATATTATAAATGTGAATGTAAGTTTGTTTGTTACGCTTTCACGCGAAAACTACTTAACCGATCATCATAAAACTTTGTACACATATTCTTGGAGGTATTAGAAGTAACATAGGATACTTTTTATTAAAAAAAAATATATATTTTTTACGAAAGATTTTCTATCGCTCTGCGAGCGAAGCCGCGGGTAAAAGCTAGTAAACATATAAAATCAACCCTTTGAATCATTTTTTTTGACTCAGGGGGTGATTTATTTATTTTTTTCTATTCAACACGATTTTTACCTTACTTTTACCTAATTTTTCTTTAGATATTAAATTCAAATTGATGAATATTTAATAATTTACCGTACTACAGAATATCCCAAGCATTACCTGTTATCAAAGTGATGGGTCCATCCGGTTTCTTTGTCTTTTCGTCCTTTATGGATGGTCCTAGATTAATTCCATAGCCTACTTGGTACACCGGAAGCGGTATTACAGTCGACGACACGGGAACAAGGTCTGGCAAAAATATGAAAAAGGAATTAAAATTCATACGACTATACAGATTGTCTAAATCATATACATATAAAATATATCATGTGGTGTCAGACACTCCAAAAAAGCGAAGTAAAACAAAGAGAGAAAAAAACAATTCCTAGATTAAACTAAAACTTTATTTAAATCTTCAAATAATTTAAAATATGCCCGTCATGGTTACCTAATGTCGGAAGAATTCATTTTTTTCTAGTATAAGTAATTGTTCCAATTTATTCTATGATGAAATGAAAGTAACCTTAACATTACAACATTTAATTTAATAACAGGTTAACCATGACCCAAATGATGCGGTGTAAACAAATATCAGATACAAAAAACGCATTACAATATTGTCGTTAGCTGTAGCCATACATTATGGTAATCCATATCTTGATGAATATGAATTCGGCAACTTCCGTGAAGTGTTTATTAAATTCGGTGGTGTGGACAGGTATTAGAAGCGTTATTTTGTAAATTATTATTGGAATATGAATTTAGTTTTGGACATAAAACTGCTACGGGCAAAGTCGTAATCAAGGATTGATAGGAAGACATCGTTCTGTTCAGTAGACAACGTCATTTAACTTTCACTAATTTTATATTTACTTTTCACTCGAAAAAATTGAGAGAAAGTGAACAAATAATAGGAAACTGAATATTAAAATTGTTTACGCAAGGTAAATTACATAAAAATGGGCATCCTAGAGGAGAAGTGTCAATATTAAAAAATAATGCTGGAAAAATTTCAACGTACGCTTATTGGGAAACAAATATTACGGGAATATTTGTAATAATTACTTTAAAATTGTGTAAATTATTTTCCTTGTACTTTGCAGAATATCTTTCAACATACAGAGTGTTCCACTGAATAGGGATTCTTCTGTAACTCTGCAACTGTCAAATTTATAAAAAATGGTTTTAATAAAAGTTGCCTAGAATCATGTATGACCCACATGATAAAGAAAATATTTTTAGCTTTACAGGGTGTTCCATTTCGCGTAGGCGTTACATAACTTGGTTATTTTAAATTGAACATACCCTGCAAATCTGCAATTTGTTGGTAACAATATCATAATTTTAAAAATAATCACAGAGTAAATGTCGGATTTGCAAACAATTTATATATGTCAGAATTATAGGAAGAGTATTCTTTTGCTACAAATACGAAATTGAATATCAAACGGCGCTACGAAGCATTGCATTTGGCGGTTACCAAAAAAAAATTAACAAACAACTCGTACCGCTCGCAAACAAAAAGATACCCACATCCCCGCGCTGCAGACTAGTTATTATAAATTGCGAGATAAATAATTAATACGGTTGTAATTAATTAAATTTCCAAGTGCCTTTGTGAGTGCACGTCAAAAACCAGGAAACAAATTAACGGCGAATGCGCGTCTCCGCCTGAAATGGAAATTCTTTACTGCACTGCATACTCCCCGGGAAGATTAGATTTAAGAATTTAGCCATTAGCTTAAGATTTTGCCTTTATGTTCGGGAACAATTTACTCTGCTTATGATTATACACGCAACTCTGCCCTCGTTTCAGACGTACATTCGTTCGTTTGGTTAAAATATCGTATCGTATCTACACTGTAAAAAAAATTACTCAATTTCACTCAATGTTACTCAGTAACCCGATTGAGTGAAATTTTCACTCTATCAATGTGAGTACAACTAAAATTTTGTGAGTGAAACTATTGTAACAGATGTGAGTGAATTTTACTCAAATCCGAGTTTGTGTTAACTATCAAGTGAGCAACTTTTGACTCTATTCTGAGTATGTAAAACCAATTAAAAGTCATAAACTACTAAGCTGCCGCAGTGGTTTCTACACAGATATGTTTCAGAGACAATATTTTAGGTCTTGATTAAAAGAATTGATTAACTGATCGGACGAATAGATTGCCATAACCTCTATTGTACACTGTAAACAAATTTTACTCAAACTTCACTCAATTTTACTCAATAATGTATCAATTTCTGTCCACACCCGATTAAGTAAAATTTTCACTCTATCAGTGTGAGTACAACTAAAATTTTGTGAGTGAAACTATTGCAGCAGAAGTGAATGAATTTTACTCAAATCCAAGTTTGTGTTAATTATCAAGTGAACAACTTTTAACTCTATTCTGAATATGTAAAACCAATTAAAAGTCATAAATTACTAAGCTGCCGCAATGGTTTCTACACAGATATGTTTTAGAGACAATATTTTAGGTCTCGATTAAAAGAATTGATTAACTGATCGGACGAATAGATTGCCATAACCTCTATTGTACACTGTAAACAAATTTTACTCAAACTTCACTCAATTTTACTCAATAATGTATCAATTTCTGTCCACACCCGATTAAGTAAAATTTTCACTCTATCAGTGTGAGTACAACTAAAATTTTGTGAGTGAAACTATTGCAGCAGAAGTGAATGAATTTTACTCAAATCCAAGTTTGTGTTAATTATCAAGTGAACAACTTTTAACTCTATTCTGAATATGTAAAACCAATTAAAAGTCATAAATTACTAAGCTGCCGCAATGGTTTCTACACAGATATGTTTTAGAGACAATATTTTAGGTCTCGATTAAAAGAATTGATTAACTGATCGGACGAATAGATTGCCATAACCTCTATTGTACACTGTAAACAAATTTTACTCAAACTTCACTCAATTTTACTCAATAATGTATCAATTTCTGTCCACACTCGATTGAGTAAAATTTTCACTCTATTAGTATTGTGCAAAACCGTACTTATCTTATCAACTTCGACGTCACCTGTTACATAGGTGTTGTATAACAATGAAAAAGTAATATTAACGGACAGTTAAAAGGAAGCACAAAAAACAAGCACTTAGGTGGGGCATTCTGGAAGGAAGCCTAGATAGTTGAAGATAGGCAGTTGAAGTGAGAACAGTGTGCAGATAGGTAGCAAGACGATCGGCGGACAGTGTGACAAAGTAGTGTAAAATTAAGTGGTTAACCAGTATTAGTTAGCAGGTAATATTCTTTAAGTACTTTGTTGTTAATTGTTCTATGTAATCTTATGATTGTGATGGTTATAGATGTTTCATGATAATAATTCTTTGTATGTTTAGCTTCCATTGCTTTATGCTCAAGGGCATATATTTTTCTAAGGTAAAATTGTTATAATTATTATTAACGATTGCTCATTATTTATTTCATGTTAAAATATATATATTGTGTGGGCGCCCAGACATTACAATAATGACTCCTTTGTTTCACATCTAACTTGTTTTTGTCATGATTACGTTGTTCGTAAAATATAGATGTTTCATGATAATAATTCTGTATATGTTTAGCCTTCATTGTCTTACGCTCAGGGGCGTATATTTTTCTAAGATAAAATTGTTACAATTATTATTATAGATTGCTCATTATTTATTACATGTTAAAATATGTATATTGTCGTGACTGCCCAGATATTGCATTAACGACCTCTTTGTTTCACATTTAACTTGTTTTATCATGATTAGGTTGTTCTTTGATTTCTTGTGCTCACTTTATGTCATACGTCTATACGAGCCTTGTTGAATTTACTAACATTTTCGCCCGTGCGGAACGAATCTGGATTAAGCTCGATTGCCTCCCGTATGGGACTCCAGTGTTATGAAGGATCTTCCGAAATCTCAACTATAGCTGGATTGCCTCCCGTATGGGACTCCAGTACCTTCCGGCTCTGCCGGCTAACTAACACCAAACCTCTTCAGTTTTACTTGGAAGTGTGTATGACTAATATGAGGTAACAGATGACATTTAGTGACACATTAAATGAGACAGGTCTTATTTATCATTAGCAAAGGTTCTTAATTTATGCCTTTGGTTAGCGGTTGTTTTGTATTTATATTTGGGTGGTAAGAGCAACGATCGTGGGTTTCTCTGCCATGCTCTTTCCCCACAGGAGCTCTAGGTGAGCCTGGCACTCTCCTTTTATGTTTAATGGTTGTTAATGTTTTTGTTGTTCTTTCTATTTGTCACATGTTTAATTTGAATTGTATATAAATAAAGGTTAGGTGTATTTACTCTGCTTTTGTTTTGTATAATTAAACCATGCATCCCCTCTACAAAGTTAGTAGCCAGCGCCTTCCGGTCAATTAAAAAAATGGATACACACAACGTAGGTAGTCCTTATGACGATCACATATTTTTGGCCACAACTACGTTTACTTATTTTTTGTCGAACCTAGGGTTGTTATACTACAGTATGAGTACAACTGAGTGAAACTATTGCATCAGAAATTATTGAGTTTTACTCAAACCCGAGTTACTGATAACTATCAATTGAGCGACTTTTGACTCTATTCTGCATATATAAAACCAATTTAGAGTTGACTTTTTCTCTAATATGATTTAAATTTAACTATTATTGAGTCATTTTATTACTCAGATTTGGTTTGTTTTCATTTAATTAAATATTGCGTGCAAAAATAATCCACTCATGATTAATTAGGATATACAGTGTTGAAATAAATTAGACGCTATACAGAATGTTCTGCAAATGATGAACTTTCAATTAGGAGAGATATTGTAAAAATAATATCTCAAATACACATTTTTTTTGTAGTATACAGGGTGTTCGCTAATTTCACCGACAACGTTTGACTGCATATTCAGGACGATAAATAAAAACAATCTACAAAAAAAAGTTAAATAAACAATTTTTGGTTTTTGAGTTACAAGCTTTCAAAGTTGACAAAAATAAAACAAATTTAATTAATAACTTCATAATCCTTTTACGGATCGCGTTATAATTTGGCACATTTATTTGGATTATTATAGCTTATTATTTCTTAAAGCTTTAGTCAAATCGATATACTGGGTGATAGTTTTTCCGGTTACCTCTATCAAAACTTACACAATGGTCGTATTTTTTTTAAACAGACAGCAACATTGAAAAGGTCGTTTTATTTAAACAAAATATATTGTCTCTTGTTATTTGCAGATGTGTATATTTCGGTTTGCG